CTTGTAGCCCGGGCTCGGCCCTCTCCACCCCGCTCACCGAGCTGAGTGACCAGGTCTCGCAGGTCCCGCGGCCCCGCCCCATCCAGGCAAAGCAGCGCTTCTTCCACTTCCAGGGCGTGGCCCACGCTGCGGCCCAGGGGGTTGTCCATAGCGGTCAGCGCGGCGGCCACCCTCATCCCTAGGCCCGCCCCCACTCCAACCTGTAAAGGGAGGCTCCGGATGGAGGACTTGTGGGTCTCCTGTAGCCCATCGTCATACTCCAGCCCTGGCGCATCCTGGGTGCCAGTCCCGCCAGGATGAGGTCGGGGAAAGCTTGGCTGGGAACCAGAGCACAGCACTGCTGGGTAGGGCGGGGGTGGGAGGGACGCATCAGGAAGGCCTTTTTCCAGGCTTGGGGTGGAGGGGCACCCCCTGGAAGGCCTCTCAAGGCTCAAGCCAGGTCAGCCTTGACTAGGCAAGAGTGGTGGGTAGTGGGCCGTGGAGGACAATCTGCTGAGTGGGCAGAGGCAGAGAGATGTACAAGGGAAGCCAGGCGCAGCAGGGAGGGTCAGGGCTCGCTCACCAGTGCCCTTGCCAGCTCTCTGGCCTGCTCCTGGTCAGGGAAGACTGCGGCTCCACCATACTTAACGTCCACCACCAGAGCCGATAGTCCTTCCACGACCTTCTTACTGAGGATCGAGGCTGCGGGGGAGGCAGAGAAGTCAGGCAGGGCATGCATACTCCGGAATGGAGGGGCTAGCCTCCTCGATGGGGGTAGCCGAGCCTAGCGGGTTGTGTGCATCGGGCAGGCCACCTTCAGGAGTTATCTTGTGACAAGGGGACGCTGGCATTCCTGTCAGATCACCTGTGATTGGGGGAGGTTTCACAGTCTAGTCATTCCTAATGAGAGGGCCCTAGCTGTGAGGTTCGAGGTCAGGATTCTGTAACATGCAGAAGTAAGTCCTTGGGAGTCAGGTCAGGTCACCTGTGATGAGTGGCAGGCTGTCCACCGTAGCTGTCACATCTCGAGCTGCATACAGGAGTCCATCCGCAGGGACCAGCTCCTTACTCTGACCCACGATACAGCAGCCCACTTGCTCCAGCAGCATTTGCATCTGGTCAGACCCCACCGCAGGTGAAAGTTTATGAAAGAGCCCATTACTGGCCCTCATCAGTGACTCAGGAAAGGCTGAGAACTGGAACCAGTGCCTATCTGTGACCTAAAGGTGATTCTGCTAAGTGCTCAGTAATGACTCTGACCTCTGACCTGGTAAGGTTCCTGGTAAGTATACAGCCCTTTAATGATTAGCAAGTTCCCAGGAATGATCTTGGTCAAAGTTCTCTTGATGACTCTGACTCAAGTTCAGTGGCTTTCAGTCTTTCAATAATCGGTATTCTCATTAGAACCATAAAGTGCTTATCAGTGATCCTTCAGTAATTATGGCCATGTCTCCCATCAGCCCACCAGTCCATGGCCTGGCTGTACCTGTTCTGGGCTCTGGATGACACTGAATCCAGGAATGGACTCCAGCTTATCCAGGGTACCACCTGTGTGCCCCAGACCACGTCCGCTGATCATTGGCACCTGGTTGGAAGGAATACTAAGTGGGTTCCTAGCCAATGAAGAGGGAATGGAGAATAAATTGCCCTAGCTGGGGTGTGTGTGTGTGTGTGTGTGTGAGTGAGTCAGTGTATCAGTGGGGAGAAGTTGGACCCATCTCTGGGGACGGAGTACTCAGCTTTTCCCTTGTTGTCCTCTCTGGGGTACAGAAAGGGATAAGGAGAAAAGGGCCTACTGTGGGCCTGAGGAGGACCCAAATTCTGTTCTGGGGTTAGGTGGGACAAATGGGATCTGTCTGGGTCAGAAGAAATTGGGAGCTGCCTGTGGCTGTCCTGGTTGCTGGCTCTTGGGGTCAGAGGTTCTGGAGAGGAGGTGGACTCTAACCTTGCAGCCACATGCAGCCAGGGCAGGTGCCAGGACCAGGCTGACCTTGTCACCCACGCCCCCTGTGGAATGTTTGTCCACCAGCTGCTGGTGCCAGGCCTCTGGCCACTCCAGTTGTTGACCAGACTTGGCGAGGGCCTGAGTCAATGCAAAGGTCTCCTCCAGATCCATGCCCCGCAGTCGGATAGCCATGAGCATGGCCCCTAGGTGTGGACACGTGAAGTAGGTGTGCCCTTGGCATGGGTATTCTGGAGCCGGTGGGGGAGCGCACAGTGGCATTCCTGGGGGTGGGCGTCCAATGGTCCCGGTTGGGGTTCCAGGTGTCCAGCCCACCCCACATACCGATCTGTGTATCCTGTGCACTGCCGTCCACCACCGCACGCACAAAGTGCCTGATATCCTCCTCACTCAGGCGCTCTCCATCTCTCTTCCTGCGAATCAGCTCTGGGAGCTGCTTGGGCTCTGGAGTGGGGTCCAGAGGTTCCCATCCCCCTCCCCGCAAGACGCCACCTGGCGCAGGGGTAGGTGGGGACGAAGTTCCCGGGGCCGCCATTGCTCCCGCCCTGCGGGGAAGGCGACATCCTGGAACCTGACCCCGTGTCCGATTCTTTGTGGCCACGTGCATTTGTCCCGACCCTGCTCGGGTGTCTCAGAGGTCCACCCCTCTGCCCTGTGACTGCTTTCATTTCTCAGTCTCACAACTCGATCCCGCCTGTACCTATTTACCACGGCAGCCCTCGCCCCGTCCGGCTCGTGTTTCCTTTCCGGTTCGCCCCACGTCGCCAGCCGCCAGGAGCCACGACGCAGGTGCTGTGCACACCTGCCCACTGGCGGCCAGTGGGCCAGATCTGCGAGAGTCCTAGCGGCTGGGGGCAGGGCTCGCCTGGGCTCGGCCAATCCCGAGCTGCCTGGTGAGCGCAGGACTATCAGGCCACAGTGCTGGGTGTGCTGGCTCGCCTAGGTCTAGGGGCTTCGCTTCTCCCGGCCCAGGCGCCCTGATCCGCCCCCCTCGGGTGGACGCTCGAAACGGCGCGGAGAGAGAGAGAGAGGCGGACACGCGGCTGGCTCTTAAACTTTAAGCAAAGGGCTGTGGGCAGCGGTCTGCCCTTCCGCCCTCCCGGTCACTTGTCCTCTTGCGTCACCATCCGGGCCAGGTAGTCTGAGTGCCGGATCCCGAAGCTCCAGCCGCCAGGCTTCCGGTGCTGCGGACCCGGGAGATGCCGCTGACCTCCCGGAGCCAGCAGTTCCCGAAGCCCCAACCCTCGTGGGCCTCAAGCCACGCCCCCCGCCCTGGGCTCCCGACCACCTGGTTCACGTTGTAGGCCGCGGGCCCCGGCTTGAGCGTGCTGTCCCGGGGGGGCGAAGTCCGCGCCAGCATTGTGAACTGGGGGGCGCGGGTCTTGTAGACCCCAGGGTTCACCACGTGGTAGGCGCAGGGCCCCGGGCTCTGCGGGAGGGCGGAGGTTGTGGGTCCCGCCACGACCCCCAGCTGTGGCTCAGGGCCAGCCCCACGTCCGCAGTCCCGAACCTTGCTGAGGTCCTCGAAGCAGCTGCCCACCGCGCTGCGGCCGTAGATGGAGTAGGTGGGCGCCGAGACCTTGCCGACCACGCGCGGGCCCAGGAGGGAGGGCACCGTGTAAGTTCCAGGGCCTGAGAGGAGCTCGAGGATCGGCTTGGTTGGCCAGGGGGTGGCTGGGGGCCGGGATGCAGGGATGGGGCTTTTCCGTTCTTACCTGGGGTCTCCTGCCAGGCTCCGACTCCCCAGTTCCGGGGTGCGATTGTGTGGCGAGGCGCGCTAGGGTACGTGGCGTTCCCCGCGCGTTCCGGGAAGTATCTGCCTGCGGGGCGCACCACGGGTGTGGACCGGGCGTGGGTCTTGGGACGGAAACGGGGGTCGGGCCAACCCTGCTAAAGCCCGGGGCGGTTGGGCGTTCTGAACGGTGAGATCCGGAGGTGGGGTGCTTGGATACCACCGGGCTTGGGAGCCCGGGGTGGAGAGAGGTCTCCAGGTGCCCTCCCCAGGGAGGCCGGGGCCCCAGGGATCCTGACCGGGTCCAGGAGTGCAGAAGGGCGCCGAGTGTCGCAGGCGACCCTGGATGGAGTAGGCGGGGGCGCCGTCAGGGCCTCTCGCGGTCCAGCCGGGTGGCACTAGGTGGCCCG